GTCTTGTTCCGGTTCAGGTCCTAGTTCCAGTTCCCGTCTTGGGGATTCCGGATTCCCAGTCCGGTTCCGGTTTCCCGTCTTGTTCCGTATTCCAGTCCTGTTCGGGCGGCTACCAGCTCCAGTCGGCCCGTTTAAGGTGAAGTGGAGTCCAAAACTTAATAGGAGCGAGATGTCTAGGAGGGGTCTCACAGCGATCGAGATATAATGCCTAAAGGGCTAGATGATTTTGTCTTTTTAAAATTAAACGAAAGTGTTCTTTAATAAAAAAATTAAATAACCCCCGTGCCGACACACATAGGAGCTGAACTTTTAAAGGCACTTGAATATTTTCCCACCTAAGATGTTAAGTTTTTCGGTTTTTATTGAATGTTAAATTATTACATCATTTTTTTTATTGGAAAGTTGCAGTTGAATAGAAAAAAAAAAACCTTTAAGTTTTGACAAGGTTTTTGTGTTCTTTAACTTTCAGAAATTTTTAGATTCGAAGTCATATAATAAATCACGAAGATTTAAACGGAAAAATGACCTTTGGCGCCACAAGAAGCGACAGGACATTTTTGTTGCAAGGTAAGGAATTTTTATTTTTAATCATGAGCCTTAAAAGTTTATGTACGAACTCCATCTACGAAAAGCTTATTTTATGAAGGCCAAAGCCTGTAATGAATTTTGACAATGAAGAAAACGAAAGGGTGTGGTAATCAGGAAGAACCAAATTAATTTAAAATACAAGTTATTTTCCGAGAAGCCCTAAAGTTTTGTTTGATACACTGAAACGAACGATACGAGACAATTAATGTTTAAAACAAAGAAAAAATTCAAAGATGAGATTTTGTCAGGATTTAAATTAAGGAAATGAATTACACCCTCAATCCCTTTCAGGAAAAATTCATTATTATAATAAATAAAATTAAGGAAATGCAATTTCTATTTTGATCGGTGGAGCTTACAGGAGAAAGTAAACTCAAAGATTCTTTAGCTTTTCTGTACCCACCCCCGAAAACTGTTAACTTTAATTGAAATCCATCCGTTTGTTCAGATAAATATAATACTTAATCCGAAGATTTAAATTGCCCTATACTTTGAACGGCAACAGTTGAGAAAAAAAGCTAGGATTTGTGTGGGAATGCAATATGTAATCCAAAAAATGATAAACGATCCCTACATTAGATAATAATGAAGGGGGGGGGGTAAATTTGCATGCTTAATGGCACGCAGGGGCCGCTATGAGCAAGAATAATATCATCAACCAATCCATCAATATCCCTAATCCCGCAGAAGGGAAATATTTAAAAGAAAAGCTTTTTCGCGCCAACTGGCGATAGTTTACAAACAAGAGAGGCAAGACTGAAGCATTGCAAAAACGCGTTTTGGTAACAAAGAATTCGAACTAACGAGATTTATATTCGTGATTTGTTAACACACCGCAACCCCTTGTTATGAAATTTTTTTTTTCCAAAGCAAGGTAACACGAGCACTCGTTTTGCGGAAACTCAAACGATGAACTCGAATCTAAATCCAAGAGCCCTAGGAGATATTGGAATAAATAGAGGCAAACATCTTGCGCGAAAATAAAAAATTATATCCATTGGTAGACTAATCAGCATTGGCCGAATGAAGTCTTAAAAAAACGGGAGAGACTTAGGTTTTCCGCGTAAAGATCAGAAAGTTAAAAATAAATAAAAAAAAAATAACCGGCGATAACAACAACGGCGCCGAGTAAGAGAAAGGAATCTGACCATTGAGCGCCTTTTAAATGTTTCTTTCTTCTTTGCTTGTTTCTTGCGCGGAGAAGGTTGAAGTTGAGGACAAGAATTATCTCTTTAGCAGCTAAATCCATTTTCAATAACATGTTTCGATCGACTATGGCTCACGGTAATAAGAAAGGAAATTCGGTTTTTAAAGATAAGAGAACCTCCTTAGAAAAAAACCTAAGGCAGACTGAACTAGTATTACTACTTTAATCTTCTCATGAAGCTAGAAAAGGCCTGGCAATATTTTGTTTCAGTATAAATCAATGGTTCTGTGGAATGTTTTCCGCGCGTTACCTTAATCGTTGGTCGGAAAAGTAGGAAGTTTGGTAACCAAAGAACCGCTCTTGTTATCTGTGTCTGAAATCTGGACTTCTGTCAGATGTGTAGATAGATTAAAAACATTTCTTTTACCATGCGGTAAAAGGCAACAAATCACATATTTTTCTATGTAGTATGGCCCATTCACACAAATCCGTGAGACAAGGGCAACGGAACAGCCTCCACGTATACAAGGCGAAAACACTCCTCGCCAAACATTTCTTTCTTCAATCAGGACTACGAAGTTTTGCTGGGCAAACAATAAGAGTAATAATAAAGGAGATAAAAATCCCTACGTTCGGCGGCTTCGAGCTACAATAGTGATAAAAAATTGTTCTCACAAGGTTCATATATTTCTTCATGTGCAAAGCAAACCAGCTCAGATATGGATTATAGGTAATATATCGTAAGGAATACCTTAGGCCCACGGATTATTTTGCGGTGGCGGTGACGACTAGATTTTTGGGGATGAACATAAAGTTTAACAACAAAATTATTTATCTAATACGGGGTCGTGGGTGGTGCTCGATACAGTTTGTATTTTGAATACGAATTGTAATCAGCCTGTTATTTTATAATATACTTCTATTGGACAGGAATTGGCTTGGGAGGGGGGGGAGAAAAGAAAATAAAGAGCTTAGCTAGACTGTGGAATTAAGTTTAACAGATCGTTTAGAAAAGGACCTTAGAAATTTTAAAAAAAAATAAATAATCAATTCAGAGCCGATGTTTAGGAACGATATTAACGGGAAATCGTAAACCATTTTCAAACAAACGGTCTTATAGCTATTGCGACAAAAGTTCGGATGGTACGGTTTATGGGAAAAACCGGGGAGGTTGAATAGTGAAGGTTTCAAACATTCTAAGTTACTACTTCACAATGTGAATAAGAGGCCTGTATTTCTAACATTATGGGGGGTGGGGCTGGGGGGACAATATGAAAATAATGGGCCCTCGACCAGACCCGCTTCATATTAGGGCGACAAAGGACCCATCCGAACCAAAGAGTAAATTGGAATTTTATGAGGCTAAACAGGCACTTTTCTTGATAAAAAAAAAAAACAAAAACTAGAAACCTGTAAAAAATAAAAGATAAACCAACGCTTTGTAGTGTCAATATTGGACTATAAGGTTGGAGAAGGGCCACCCCCCACCTGTCGGATATTTTGATTTAAATCGCTTAAAAAAAAAAAAGTTCCACGAACGGTACCGATTAGGCACATGAAATTGGATATCCTTCGCCAGGTATTAAAAATATATTCTAAGAATGGCTCAAAGAGGGCATAACAGAGGAAATACCCATAAATTAATTAGATTTACCCTATCATTATTTACCACATACACATGTTGTTAAGGAACATAGTACTATGAAGTTACGGCCAGTATTTGATGCTCTGTCTAAAGCAAGGGGTTATCCGAGTCTCAACAATTGTCTTGAAAAGGGATTAAACCTTATTGCTTTTATTCCTACAATTTTAAATAGATTTCGCCAAGAAAAAAAAAAAAAGTGATTTCTCATATTTACCTTTCTACAAATTGGCCTGATTTCTAGTGACAGAAACTTCCTCCGATTTCTTTCGGATAAAGGGTGAAGATGGCTTGAAGGATTTTCGTCATTGTCGAGTTGTATTTGGTGTAACCAGTAGTCCATTTTACTTGGAGCTGTTATTCAATATAACTTAAATTCAATTTTAGAGAAAAATGATGCAGATGTAAAATATCCTTCGACATTATTGTTAAATTAATTAATAGTATCTAGGTTGATAACTGTGTAACAAGTGTCGGTAAGTGAAGATGAATTACAGCGATTCATGAAAGTATCTTCAGATGTTATGGCAGAACGAAAATTTGAACTACGGGGTTAAGAATATACCGACTGTAGTTTAGAAACAGAAACTAATTAGCGAATGTATTAGTTTTGTTATGGGGAAAGACAAGAAGAGAGCGATAGGGCACTCTTTAAACATAAATGTTGCTAATTACAATTTGCAAAAAATCTTTGTTCTAATAAAAGTCCCGAGAGAAGTATTTTTGGCAAAGGCCCCAAAAGCCCATAAGTAATTTGATACCCATCGGTTATAAAATAAAAAAAAAAAAAAGAGGAAAAAAAGAAAAAAACATTGGCATGTCCAGAGAGTTCCCCTTAATAGAATTATATTACATTTATACCCCCCCCCCCCCCCCCCCCCCCCCCCCCCCCCCCACCCCCCCCCCCCCCCCCCCCCCCACCCCCCTCGCTCTTACCCTCCCCGCCCCCCCCCCCCTCGCACCGCCCCCCCCGCCGCCCCCCCCTCCCCTCACCACAACCCCCCCCCCCCCCCGCCCGCCCCCCCCCCCCCCCCCCCCACCCCCCACCCCGCCCCACCCCCCCACCCGCCGGCACTCCTACCCCACCCCCCCCCGCCCCACCATACGCCACCCAAGCCCCCCGGCCCCCCCCCACCCCCCCCCCCGCCCACCCCCCCTGGCCCGAGTACCGCCCCCCCCCGGCCCTCAACTCTCCGGCGCGGGCCCCTCCGTCGGCCCCCGACGTACCCCCGCCCCACCCCCCCACCACCCACTTACCCCCCCCCCGCGCATCCCCCCCCCCCCCCCCTCACCCCCCCACACACCCCCCTGCCCCCCCCCACCCCACCACCACCCCCCCCAAATCCCCGACGGCACCCTCCCCCGCCCCCCCCCCCCCCCCTCCACCCACCCCCCCCAATATAAAAACCCACCCCCCCCCCCTCCCCCCCCACCCGCCCCCCCCCCCCCCCCCCCACGCCCCCCCCCAACATCAAAACACACACACCCCACCCCCCCCCCCACCCCCCCCCCCCCGACCCCTCGTCGCCTCGTCCCCTCCCCGCCCCCCCCCCCCCCCCACCTCCCACCCCACCACACCCCCGCCCCCCCCCAACCCCCCCCCCCCCCCCCTCCCCAACCAACCCTCGAACCCCACCCCCCCCCCCCCCGCCCCCCCCCCACCCTCACGCCACCCCCCACCCCCCCCCCCAATAATTCCGCCCCCCCACCCCCCACCCCCACCGCTAACCCCCCCCCCACCTCCCCCTCTCCTCCCCCCGACCCCCCCCCCCCCCCCTCCCCCTCCCACCCCCCCCCTCCCCCGCCGCCCCTCCACCGCCGCTCCCTCCCCACGCGCACCCCTCCCCCCCGCTCCCCGCCCCCGCCCCCCCCCCCCCCCTGCCACCCACTCGCCCCCCCCCCCCGCCCCTCCCCCCCCACGCTCCCCCCCCCCCCCCCCGTGCCCACCCCCCCTCCCCCCCCCAGCCCCGACCCGGGGCAGCTCCCGCCCCCCCCCCCCCCCCGCCCCCGCCCCCGGCCCCCACCCCTCCCCGCCCCCCCCCCCCCCCCTCCCCCCTCTCCCCCACACCACCCCCCTGCCCCCCCCACCCTCCCCCCCCCCCCGCGCCTCCCGCCCCCCCCGCGCCCCGGCGCCACCCCCTCCCCCCCCCCCCCCCCGCCGCACCCAGCCCCCCCCTGACCGTCCCCCCCCCTCCTCCCCCCCTCCTCCCCCCCGCCCCCGACCCCCCCGCCGCCGCGCCCCACCCAACCCTCACCCCGGGGGATCACCCACACCCCCCCCCCCCCCCTTCCCCCCCCGAACCCCCGCCCCGTCCCCTCCCACCTCCCCGCCCGCCCGCGCCGCGCCCCCCCCCCCTGCCCCACCTCCCGCCTCCTTGCCTCCGCCCCCCCAGCACCGCCGGCTCACACCCCTCCCCCCCCGCCTACCCCCCCCCCGCGGCCCCCCAACGGCCCTCCCGCCCTTCTGGGGGCGGTGGCGGCCCCCCCCCACCCCCACCCCCGTCCTCCCCCCCCCTGACCCCCCGACGGCGCCGGCCCTCCCCCTCGTCCCCGCACCGCCCGCTCGCCCCGCCCCACCCCCCCCGCGCCCCCCCCCCTCCCGCCCCCCCCCACCCAGTCAGCCCCTCACCCCTCCCCCCCCACCTCGCTCGCACGCCGCCCCCCCCCCGCGCGCCCCCTCCCCCCCCAGCCCCCGACCTCCCCCGGCCCCCCTCCCCGCCCCCCGGCTTCGGCCCCCACCCCCCGGGCGCCTCCCCCCCCCCCCCCGCGCCGCCCCCGCGCCCCCCCCCACCCCCCAAGCCCCCTCGCCGCGCCGCAGGCCCGCGCCCCCCCCCTGCCTCGCCCGGCCGTACCCCACCCCCCGCCTCCCCCCCCCGGACACCCACCTCCGCCCCCCGCCCCCCCCCTCCCCCGGGACCGCCCCCTACTCCCCCCCCACCCTCGACCGCTCGTCCCCGCGCCCCCCGACTCCGCCCCCCCCCCTCCCTAGGGCCGCCCCTACTTTCTTCTACCCCCTCCCCCCGCCGCGCGCCCCCCCCCCCCCCTCCCCAACCCGCCGCCCCCCCCCCCCTCCCCGCACCCGCCCCCCCGCCCCCCCCCCGCGCCCCCCGCCCCCGCCCCCCCGGTCCCCCTGCCCCCCCCCCCGCTTCGACCCCCTCCCGCGCCCCCTCCGCCGCTGACCACCCGCGACCCGCCCCCCCCGGGCCCCGTCCTGCGCGCGCACTCCCCCCCCCGGCCCCCCCCCCCCCCAGCCCGCCGCCCTCTGCCCCCGCTCCCCCCCACGCCGCGCCCCTGACATCCCCAAGTCCACCCCCGACCGTCGCCCCCCCCCCCTCCCCCACCTCCCGCACGCCGCCCGGTGCCCCCAGATCTCCCCTCACTGGACCGCCCCCCCCCCCCCCCCCCCCCCTCCCCTCCCCCTCCCCACCCGCTTACGACCACCGTACCCCCGCCCCGCGACCCCCCTCCCGCCCCTCGCACTCACCCCCGTCGCCCAAGCAACCCCCACGCCCCGGGCCCCCCCTTCCGCCACCCCCACACTCCGCGACCTACCCCCCACCACCCCCCCCCCCCCCCCCCCCCCCCCCCTCCCGCGCCCCCCGCGCCCACCCACCTCCCCCCCCCCCCCCCCCCCCCTAATATGGTTATTACAGCGGACATGGGGAAACAAAGTAAAATGGGACGAAGACGTTACAAAAATGAAAAGTAATTTTTGAAATGGTAAAGACATTTTCTTTTGAAAACTTAAAGTTCCAGGTGTATCGATATCAGTCCCCAAAACAGTGTTCAAACTGTTTTCTGTGACGCCAGTCAACAGCGTATGCGGCAGTAGTTGTCATTCGTGTAGAAGAACCTGAATCATTAAGTCCAGTTGCTTCAGGCGAGGGAACTAATGTAGATAGAATTGTTAGTCAGCAATATTGCATCTCTCTTTCTGCAGACCTTCTAAAGACTTTGGAGGCCAAAGTACATTGTTCTGGACAGATTCACTACTTCCTTGCATGAAAAAGGTAAGAACCATGGGGGCATTTGTAGAAAATAGGTACAGATAAGGCTTTAGACACGTGTGGAGGATAAAGCATCAACCCTAACCCTGCAGATCTTCCAGTAGAGGGTGTTCATTCGCCACTCTCCGGTCAAATGGTGGGGGGTCCGAGCTGGCTTTTAAAATCCCAAGAAAATTGGCCGAATGCCAAATCCGTAACTGATGAAGTGGAAATAGCCAGTGAGAGAAAAAAGGTGGTGGTTTCATCTCTAGTGTCTACTGAAAACTCTGGTTTGAGTAAACGATTTTCTAGCTATCAAAAAACAGTGAGAGTTGTTGGTTGGATTCAACAATTTTTCTTTAATTGCAGAAACAGGAAAAAAAGGAATGGTAAACTCGGTGTTGATGAACTTGATTTTGCGGAAAAGGTTGTTATTTGTTTGATTCAATCGGAATCGTTTCAGGATGTAGAAGTCGCACGCTTACGAACTCTTAGTCCATTTTATGATGCTGGAATTCTAAGAATTAAGACTGTTGCATTTCGAAGAGATTACACGTTAGAATTCAGAACACCTATAATATTACCAGGAGAACATCCTTAGTAGGAATTTAATTAGGACGAAATGAGGAAGGACATGCAGGTGTACATATAACGATACCTTAGGAAAGGTTTTGTGTTGCTGCAAAGAACGTGCGTTCTGTTTTGAGTAAATTCATGACTCCAAGATATCTGCTGTACTTGTGACACATATCAGCCCCACGCCATAGGCGATATGATTCCGCAGTATTTCAAGACACTATTAAAGACCCAAATGGAATTTTTCTTAGAGCAGTTCGAACTCTGTATTCTTTAAGGTCACGCAAATGATGTCCCGTGAAGCTGCAGAAGTAAACAAGATTCGTTGTCTGACTAACTCACGTAATGATAAATCTGAAAGACCTGTAACAGATCTGGTAGACTTAACTCCGCAGACGACTGGCATATTAGGCTCTTTGGCATTGTTTTACTTGATGTGAAGTCAATTTTTTTTCCCCTTAGGTGGAAGGATTTAAATCTTTCATAATCGCCTGTAGTAACGGCACCGCCGTCAATAAAGGAGGTGCTTCCTAGTGCACCGCAGTTCATTTTAGTTCGAGCCAGAGTGGACCTGCCCGGGAGACGCCGGGGATGATAGGTTTCCTGTCTTCCGGTTTCCCGTCTTTTCCGATCCAGTCCTGTTCCAGCTCCATCCGGCCGTTTAAGTCCAAAACACGTAGGAGTGAATCTGAATCCAGCGAATCGAGAGACTATATGCCGAAAGGGCTAGAGGATTTTGTCTTTTAAAGAAATGTCTCTACGTGCCGGCAAGCGGTTCTTTAAGCACTTTGAATGTTTTTCCATCTAAGATGTTAAGTTTTCGTTTATGATGTTAAGTTTACATCATTTTTGAAGTTGCAGTTGAATAAACCTTTAAGTTTTAGACAAGGTGTTTGTGTTCTTCAGAAAATTTTAGATTCGAAGTTAGAGATATCACATAAGGTTTAGCGGAAAAATCAACAATGCTCTATTTTCTGAAGTTCTATGTCGTATGAAGACCATTCTTTTATTCCCTGAAGTTCTGTATTCTATTTAGAACAATATATATACCTTGAAAGTCTGTAGTCCTTGAAATATTATGCTCTGTTCCTTAAATATCAATGCAATATGAAGAACCATGCTCCATTTCTTGAAGTTCTATGTTCTGTTCCCTGAAGCTCAATGGTCTGTGCAAAACTGTATTCTAGTCTCTGATCTTATATGTTCTATTAAGAACTATGTTCCATTCTCCCAAGTTTTATGTTCCATTCCCTGAAATTCTTTGCTCTGGGTTATACGAAGAACTGTTTGATTTTCTGGGTCATACTCTATTGATTTTATCTTACATTAAAGAACAAAATTCCAGCAGCTTTTGAAAACCCTGTGATGAACTGAAGACTTGAATAAAAATTTAGTACGAACTGAAGACGGGAATAAAATAGGCAAGTCTTTGGTTCACCAGGCAAGTCCTGGTGGACCAAAGACTTGCCTAATCAGTATTATGGACCTTGCAACCAAATCTTGTAGAACAAGAACGGTGATCCCTCAACTGATTAAAAAAAAAACTTCAAAATTTTAATATCTTCAAATTGGGTTAAGGAGCCTACCTACAATGGAAGATGGGAGTATGTTACATCTAAAATTTTAAATAACTATGTTTTAAGGATTTTCTTTTTATAGCGTTTTTATTGAATTCTTGCGTAGCAACGTGTGTAACATTCACTTTTGTTTATGAATTGAAAATAATTAAAGATATGAATTCCATGAATTCCTTTTTTGCTTTAAAACGGTTGTTTTTCTTTCATTAAATACTCTAAATGTTCACTTTCCCGAATCAACCGAACACTGATAGGATAATTTATTCCCTATGTTGACAGTACCCATCCCGGATAAATCTAAATAATATATTGAGCTCCTCTTAAATTCGAATTGATTAATTCTTCAACAAGTAATGGTCCATTTGGATTATCAAAAACAAACGATTATTACAGAATAACACCGGATGAATGCAAAAGAATATGCAATTTGAAAACAAAATTTTAAATAATGCTGCTGCTGTTAGACAGAACAAGGCACCATTCCGTTATGCAGCAAAATACACTGGAGCCGCCTTTAATTAAGTCACACTTTTTGGGAGTTAATTTACTTTATATTCTACAAATTCTTGTAATTTACAATTCTTGTAAAATACCTAATAGTCCTAAATTTGGCTTTAAGCGAATCAAATGAATGAAGCAAGTAGATTGTCTTTTAATGAAATTATTACTCCCTCTTGTTCTACCGAAGAATTTAAATTCAGATTAAATCAAGATTATCATACTGCTCCAAATACCTTTATACATATTACTATTAGGTATCCAGGATGGTATAGTGATAATAAAGATCACCAAACAAATTGAGCAAAAGCAATATGAATTAAAATCATATCTCTACGGCTGACAATGAAAATTCAACTACATTCCACTTGTTGAATATTAATCCTCAAACTTATCAAATAGCAGAATACAAAAGTGTTATTTATATGAACATTGCAAACCTAGAATTATTCAAACGATAAAAAAGAATGTGAACATAATATTGTCACATCATCACATTTGATACCGAACGGCACAATATAAAAATGTTATTAATTTGTACAACTAATACCTGCGATTTTTTGAATTGATGAAATGGATCCGAGTTTAATTATAGCAATATCTCCAATGAAGTTTCTAGTCGATATTTTCCTCTCCCTGTCCTTGGCGAAATGAAGTCCTTTCTCCTTGAGCCGTCACTATTTCATAGGAGGAGAACATTAATACGTGATCTTTCGGTAGGAATACCTTGAATGGTAGTTCATGCATTAAACAGAAATTGATAAAAGTCACTGGGCATCTATTATTCAAGACAAACAAGCAGTTTGGGTTTAGTGTAAAACTTTTAGTATTCGTAGGTGCAGGAATACACGACAAAAGATTTGTTTAGCTCTTTACACTAGACATAGTGGAAACGCTCGACCTCGTCTGGCAGTAAAGTGTAATTTATAATTTTCTGTCTCCGAATTTCAGCAGAGAAATGCTTTTGATTCTTAACTGCTTTCCTTTTTGCAGCAAGACAAGGCTCAGCATTTTTCCTCAAACAACTGCTGTGTAGATATTCTAAAAGTTCCCTATCTCGGTTCCATAGAAATCATCATCTACGTAGCTGATTATCCAAATGTGTTAAATGACTATGATTAGCTCTTAGCTGGCTGTGCAGATGATATCGCAATTATAGTAAGATACCTTTCACACATTTTTCTGAAACAAGCAATTAAACGTTTAAGAGCAAAACTTCTAAAATTGAAGAATGGTGCCGAAAATGAAGGGTAACAATCGATAAAAGAAAGCCTCAGTTGCTTGTAATAAGACGGAATCAGACCAATCTTGAAATATATTAAAATTTTGTTGTTCAATAAAGGAGCATCAAGTGTACTCAGAGGTAAGTGTGTAGGAGTTATTTTCAAAAAGGTAAACGTGACTAGCAAAACAAGTATGCAATTAGTAAAGCCAACGTGTTAATGAATCAGCACCTGCCTTTATTTTGTTACATATTCAGCATCGACTTTAGCAGTCAAAAGAACTTTATACATAATGATTTTTAGGTCTATTTTATGTTCTTCTTCCCTATTTTGAGCAGAGACACTTTGGCAGATATTAACAAATTGCAAATTATCCAAAGTAAGGTTCTTCGTATTGTCAACTAATGCTTCTATTTTCATATGAAATTTGACGTTGCATAGAGACTTAATAGTCCCTCTGATTAGCGAACACCTTAAAAATACCAATGAATATGTTTTCTAGGCAATTAAGCATGTACTAATGAGTACAAATTAGAAATCAAAACATGGAAGGGAACAGAAAGGTTTTTAAATATGTACTAATAAGTATAGAAAGTCATAGTCGCTAAAATAATGTACAACAAAATGCTCTAATAAGTCTACCATCTTCCAGTACTATATAATTGCTTATTGATGAGTAATTAAAAAATCTGATGTGTACACCACATGACTTCCTTGTACGGAATATTAATAGCATTTTTTCTGCATTCATTAAATTACGAATTGAATTTAAACTCACATTATCGAAGCGATAACCCAATGTAAAATACACTTTTAAAATTACTATATTTTTATCATAGCAACACTCTGTGCGCGATCACTTAACAGCGTATATTCGTCATATTATAACTGAGATGTACAAAATTATATCATTTGAAAATTATCTAATCGTTGACAAATTGTTTTATTCAAATACTCTAATATATCTAAAACGAGTATAAAAGAAATTAGCAAAACCAAAACCAAAAAGAAACAGCGGTCACAGGCGATTTAGATTTCCAGCAATTAAGCAGTTCTCAATTCGCGACAGGCGAAATACATAAAAACTCAAAATTCTCTAGGAAAAATACGAAGAATCGTAAACACATCTCCGCGAAATAATAACAGATAAGCATGAAAAGATTAAAGGATTAAGGATGAATTCGCAATAATAAATTAAGGGCGTTTATCTTTGTTGTGCGTTATTAGTCTCTCTAGATTGGCAAAAATATATTTCTGCGTTTCAAATGTAAACAAAATAACCGCCATGTTATTAAAACTAAGTCTAACCGCACTTAAACAGCTTTTAAATGGGACAAAATGCTTGCAGATTACTAAAGGCTCAAAACGTATACGGAAGAAAAGAGCAACACAATTCATCATCTTTAAAGCAAAAATGCGCACAAAACATAAAGAGTAAGAATCTGAGATCCGAGCCGGATTACAGAGGGAAGATATATATATATATATATTTATATATTTATATATTAATACGTTTGGTTGCGGCCGATTGCAACCAAAATCGAGGTGCAAGTTATGCCAGTCCTATATACAAAACTGCAACGTTTTGAAGCTACTCATTTGAGTTATGCGAGATACGTACGACATTTAGTACACACAGCACGAAAAAATCTTTCTTCTGAATTCTTTTAAAGCAGTTTTATAATTTTTTTGGAGGAAAGAGTCTTTATCTGTCTTATTTACATGTCGTTCAAAAACATCGTTAATTGCATTCGATGCGGTCCAAATGGATATTTTTGTGAAATATTTGCCTGAAACTTGAAACTACAATCGCGTTTACAATACTTCCTTTTTACTTCGTATAAGGAAGTAAAAAGGATTGTTAAAAATTTGTGC